GTATCTCAGAAGGAGAAAGAGAGCAGGCGGGCTCCCGCAGCACAGCCACCCCAACAGCTTCACTGGTGTTGCTCTGTGCGTACGGGATCCCAGGCACACAGCACTGGCGGAGTTCCCAGCTCTCACACGGTAGGGGTTAAACTGCAAGAAAAGTCAAAACATGTGAACAAGAAAATAGGTAGGAAAGGAAAAAAAAGTCAAAGTTTGCTATTAAAAAAAAAAGCAAATGTGCACAGCATAGGTCATCTGAAACAGATGGTTGGGATTCCTCCTGGGAAGCTCGGGGATTAGGACCCCACAGCACCTGGGAAGCAAAAAAAAAAAAAAAAAAAAAGTTGTACATAGGTGTTTGTTGCTGAGTAGGCGTTCCGAGAGTGGCCCGAACAGGGCACAAAACAAAACCAATGGCTTTGGATCTCAGCTGTGGGATGTCCAGAGTACAGGGCTTGGAGAAAACTCATCGACTTTTTTTAAAAATTGCTTGGTTTTATGGGTCGTTCCCAGCCTTTCCTTATAAATACAAAGTACAGTGCAATCTAGGATCAGAATTGTAAAACAGCATCCCACAGTTCCAAGTAAAACCTAAGTGCTGAACACATGCTGAGCAATGCGCCGCGCGTTGTGCTTGAATTAACCTCAGAGCTGAGCAGTGAACGGGCAGGTAACCGTGACCAGGTGGTGACACACCCATTAAAGAGCCACCTCACCCACTTCACACCCCCACACAAACCACCAGAGCCCATCTGATACAGATGAACAACATAGCGAACCTTGCAAGGCAAGCCCACTTGGTCAAGCTAGTTTAAGGAATAAAGCAGAAAAATATTTTCACTAAAATTACTTCCTAGGCATCTTGTTTGGAAGGCAATCCAGGTGGCTTTTCTACGCAGCAGCTCCATCCTTCATCTCTACCTGGAATCTGTGGAGTCCGCACATGCCCCAGGCCCTGGAGAGCTTTCTCTCCATCCTCAAAAGCAATTCAAAAAAGTAAATAAAATGTGTAAATCAATAAGTAAGTCAAATAAGTTATGTGTACGCACACATTTGAGTGCTTATGCGCGAACAGGGCTCAGTAGCAGTTTCTCACACTCGCCAAGCTTTTCCGCTCTTTTGCCCATCTCATACAAAGCTCTGTTTCTTTCACCGTTTCTTTCTCCAGAGCCTCTTCAAAGGGAAGTGCAGAGCATGGCCTTTCTAGAAGTCGTATCGAAACTCCGCAGCCACGAGAACAAAACTGTTGCCCAGCAGGCCTCGCTAACAGAGCAGAGACTTGCTGTAGAAAGCTGAGGAAGGTCTTGTTTCCAGCGCATCCCATCACAGATCTCACCTCTGTCCTCCGTCCTGCTGCCGCTCCCGCTATGTTTTCCACTGTATCACTCGTGCATGCGTGTAACGTTCCCACACAAACTGATGAACTGCTGTAGGTACCCGTCCAAAAAGGTTTCTACAAATTCATAGGTGGTGTTAACATGAACCTGTCTCCACCCGTAACTGTTCTACTTGTATTCTTGTTGCTTGGGCCACATAGTAGAATGTGCATGTTATAGTCCTATGATGACGTAGAAGTGGTACTACACGATGACTCTTTCCTCACGCCCCCTAACTGCATAACAATGTACTACTAAATTAGGGACAATACAAGATGCAGCAAGGCCAGGCTAGCGTGCTGATTGTAGGGTTAAGAAGTCAATCTAGCTCCATTTTTGGTGCTTTGGAGATTCAGGTTTGAATGCAATGTGCTGCTGCTCATTCATTGGTCTTGCCTATTAATGTCAAACTTGTGGTACCTAGAAGTAACAAATAAAAATTTCAGTGCTCTCACTTTATCCTCTGGTTTCTCCCTTTTTGTATTCGCACGCAGAAGCCACGGCTGCACCGCCACGCGCTGGTGAGGGGCCCCTTTCCTTCCTGGCTCCAGCCCCAATGCAGTCACTGCTTTTCAGTTGAGCAAATGTAAAGGAAACAATTCCAACCACTTTCACCATGTACGCTCACACGGAGGCGCGGCGCGGTTTAACAACCGTGTGTGTTAGCAGGAATACACCGTACTGTTATCCCATAAAGCCACGTGGGTATGAGCGCACTCAGGCTTGCTTGGGATCGGGTTTTTGTTTGTTGGGGTCTTTTTGGTAGATGGACTTTAAAAGGTGGATCTTTTGCAGCTCGAGTGAGAGATGCAGCATGCAAGGGTCTTCCTTTTTCTCCTTTCCTAGGTAAAGGAGTTTGGAAATTGCCAGCATCTTACCTCACAGCTGCTCTTTCGTAGGTTTGTAACACGCCAGCAAGCAAACCAGCAGACGACTCTTTGGCAAAAGAGGGAGCCGTTGGGATAGCAGTTCCCAGCACACCAGCACGTGTTACTTTTGACTGCGCGATGCCCTTCTCTAGCTCCATCAAGCCCACAATGCACAAAGATCATGTAAGTTCTGTAACGTTTTAAAGCAATTTCAGCACTTCCAGTGCTGAAGCGCCAGCCTCGGAAGCATCAGGCTCCTTGTTTATCAGCAGAAGAGGCGAACCCAGAGGCCAAGCACCCACACGATCCCATGCCACCTGCTTGCAAAAGCACTGCTTCTGGCCTTCCCAAATTCACCTCCCAGCTCCATGAAACCACTGGCTACCCCACAGACACTGTCATGGGAAGATGCCAGTCATGATGGGAAAGGGATTATGCACACAAGCCAGGTACGAAAAGAAACTTGCCTCAAATAGTCAGTTGAAGCTCAGACTGTGACTGCACTGAAACCCAGCGGGTGCTACAGGTGCATTCACAGGGCAGAGATTTCAGGGCCATTCAATCCAGTGCCAGAAACACAGAGAAAAAGCCTCAAATACGAAACTCTACAACAGCTTCTTATTTAAGAAAAATTCAAAAGACGTTTGCCAGTAACAGCGCAATAAAGGCCCTGACAAGAGCCTAAGCAGGAGCCCGTGGCTCAGGCTCCAAAACCACAGCACCGCTGCGCTGCTGAACATAACTGGCATGTTTACAATCTCAGGTCACAGTGGGCCCCCGCGAGCTCAAGTTTTCTCAGGCATGGAAATGCTTTCCATTGATTTAAACAGATCCCAAAATACATTCAAAAGACCAGTTACCAGTGACTTGCCTGGGTCTAGAAAGAGACCATTCCCTTTGACATCGGTATAAACTGCAAGTGCCCACAGGAGCTGATCACAACCAATGATGATGTGACACCGACAACATTCCCATTCACCTGGCTGGCTAACTGACCCCAGGTTAAGCATCAGCCCTACCCTTATCACCAATTTTTTATTAGGGATACCACTGCCAGAGCAAGCACAAACAAAGGCCAGTGCCGATATCCCCCGACATTCAGGGGGTTTCCCTGGATGGAGTATCAAGTGACTCGCATTTCCAGATACAATCTGCACTAAGCCTGCACACACAAGTCCACAAAAGGGCAAAGATGGGAGCGTGGGGCAGCAGGAGGAGGTAGCTGAAGAGGCCACATCTATCCGCACAAATGCCATGCCGCTGCGAGGCGCGCTGCAGCCTGCAGGGCATTTCTGCATAGCTGGTAAATCATTTACCCTCTCGGTCTCTTTTAGTAAGAGAAACAGGATCTAAGGACGTTACTACCATGCGTGTTTCACGACTCACTTGACTGAAGTCAACCAAATTGAAATCGCCAACAGTAGTTCTGATCAGATGTTCAGGAGATGGGTGACACCTAAGCAAAGCTTGACATCTGCTGCTCAGGCTATTTTTACAATGGCGATGCCTACCGCCACAGCAAACCAAGCTAAAACGATGGCTTGTGTATTACATCTCCCTGCGTCCGTATGACTTTTGCAAGAGCTAGCATCACTCCAGTCAGGAAGATAAAAAGCACACACATCTTTACATTTCACGGTGTGGAAAGACAAGGAAAAGCTTCCCTTTGGGTCAGGCACAAAGCCCAACAACGTCGGCCTTGGATCCAGAGAACGCGTTGGTCAGACGAGACCACGAGACCCAGAAAAGGTAATTTGTTTAATTAAAGTCCTAGAAATGGCAACTAGCCACAGCTTCAAGGAGCCGTATGCAAGCCTGTGAAGTTTGACAGAACGCAGCTGGCCACTCCCAGTCCCCCCACCCCCATCGTGAAAACAGCGTGTCCAAGCACATCACAAAGCTTTAGGCAATGCCCTCAACTTTGCTTCTTTTTGGTTGACTTTTGCTCTTCCCTCCCCCCAAAGGCCTCCACATTTGCGTTCTTCTTTTGCCAAACCATTTCCATACATTCAGATAAATGCGTACGCCTGAAATATGCAAAAGGCACTGGACTTCAGTTTGGACATAAAGACACGCTTTTAAATCAGTGGGCAACACCGTAGGTTTGAGATACTGGATTGGATTAGCTTGCTCTGCAGGTTTTGAAGGGCTAAAAAACCTGAGCTGCCTCCTCCTCTGTCTAAACAAGCACGAGACACCATTACCTGGTTTTACCTGCACAATAAAGTAAGTCAGCTCTCACCGCTCCTGTTTAAGGACATGTTGCACTTAGAAAAGTGAGATTCCCACCTCCCTCCCTTTGCAAAAGTTTAATTAAGTCACGGCAAATCCCCTCTGCGCTGCTCCCTGCAGAGCAGCAACTTCTGAACACTTCAGGGTCGCGGAAACGGTTCTGGGGAGAGCCCCAACAGACGCAGGAGCCAGCAGCCGCAGCGGTCCCAGGAACACCGACGACCTGTCAGAAAGAAGCAGAGCGTGGTCATTAGCCAGAGACTTCATCAACAGCTGACCCCAGATATGGGATCTCCTCACTGGGGGATGCGCTCCTCACGTACTAGCTTATTATTCATGCAAGGGCAGCCGCTGGCGGTGTGATAATGAGTTTTGTGATTTAATTAGAACACAATATTCTACACCGTATAGGAGAGACTCGGGCATCTGTTTCCCCTGTTGGTTTGGGGGAGGAGAGGCAGGGGGTCTCCTCCTGGAGGAATTTTGCATGAACGTATCTTTGTACTGTTAATGTTAAAAGCTACATCAAGAGTACACATTCACAACATCATATTTCACGCAATTTTATTTATAAAATTGTAATTATCTAACAAATTGCATATAAAATGATTTACTTCAAGTAAATACAGAATACTGCACAACTATTAAAACTATTGTATTGTCCATCATAAGTGTATTAAAACATTCCTAAAAAATGCCTCTATTAAAAAACAAAAACCCAGTAACACAAGTAGCATGATCAAGACCACTTTCAATAGCTTAAAATGAATTACCAGGAAGTTGCATTCACTTCCAAAGTAGACTCCAGTTACATCCATCGAGATCAGCATGTGATACGATACCACAGTCTAACGCTAAAGATGACAGGTAATATACATTGTGCACCTCATCTACGCTCTTCTCCTAGGCTGAAGGCAACCAGTCCGAAATCAGAGAACTAAAGCTCAGTCAAGCTTTACTGGGCATGCAGTTCTGTTATAGCAATACTTTCAACTGGTAAGCGTAGTTGGCTTTTACAATCAATTTTACAACTGATAATAAAAAAAAAAAAAAAGGAACACAAGGGAATACATTCGTGTGAAGAGGAATGATACACAAAGGTAGGTACTGACACCTTGCTGTACAGCCCGGGAGGAACCAGAGAGAGAAATTCAGTTGGAACTAATCTGGAATATACATATCGGAGACGGGTCTGAGCCACAAAACCCAAACCCCAGTCTCCCCAGAGCTCAAGGCAGCATCTGGGCCGTCTCTACTATGTGCACAGCGTGAACAAGGACACACATACGGATGGAGCTTTTTATTAACACATTTGTATTGCCGAAACGCACGCGACAGCTAGCAGTGCTGCCTGGCGCATGCTGCTAGTCACAACACTTATTTTTATACTGCGTGTTAAGGGAGACTTTTTTTTTCCTCCCCCTTTAAATGGCAAAATTTGGTAGCTAATGGATCCAATGGGGTAGTTTTTATTTTGTTCGCTTTAGACAGTTTCACGACCAATTACAGATAGCTGAAAAAGCTTCAGAGAGAAAAATGGGAGGGAGGAACTGGAACCTTCAGCGGTGCTCGAGGCCTGCTACAGTCCCATCTGCCTCCAAGGAATCTGCAGAACCGCCATGCCCAGGCACCCGAAAGGCACACACAGCGAGAGGGGAAACGGAATCACCAGCTCACACCAGCGTTTCTCTTGTAACCAACACTGTTAATCAGAATCGGTTTCAGCGAGGGCATCTCCAAAGCAGTAAAACACAGATGAACGTCCGGGACGGTTCTGATAGCACCATGTTTAGTCCTGCCGCAAGCGACGGCCGCTTCCCGGGGCTGGA